CCCTGTGTCCCCTTACCATGGAGGGGTCAGTGCCACTGGAGCAGTTCCTGGAGCAGTGTCGTTTCTTGTGGGGCAGTTGGGGGCTGCCCCTTCACCTCTTGTCCCCTTGCCCACGGAGGGGTCACCTCCACTGGAAGTGGCCCCTGGGGTGAGTGGGTTCCATGCAGTGCTTGTTTTCCCCCTTGCTCCTGCGCCAACGCCATTGCTCCATCGGGGCAGTGTGGCCAAAGTCTCTCTGGATTTTGGGATCTCTCCGGATTCTGGGTGGGGAGAGCTGCAGACTGAACTCTCAGACTGGGACAGGACTCCCTTCTCCCAGTATGAACTGAATGGAGCCCAGCACAGCTGCCGGATGGACAGGGCTTCTGGCAGCTGGACGATGGAGGCAGTTGCCTGCAGGACTGGCAGTGTGGCCTCTGGATCCCGTTTCGCCCTCCAGCTGGTCATTCCTGGCCATTCCCAGTGTTCCCCACACAGGGGTGCACTGGTGCTCCCCCTGACGTGCTGTCCCACAGGGGATACTCGAGGGAGGCTGAGGGCAGCTGGTTCCGCTCCCTCTTCGTGCACAAGGTCGATCCACGCAAGGATGCTCATTCCAACCTCCTTTCCAAGAGGGAGACCAGCAACCTCTACAAGATCCAGTGTGAGTGCTCCTGCTAGAGGAGGGGCGGGGGGGCACACCCCCTGCTGTGCTGCCCCTCCTCACCCACGGGGACTCCCCAGCTGTCTGCCATGCTTCCCTGTCCCCAGACCCTCACTCGTCTCCTTTCTTCTCCCTGCAGTTCACAGTGTGAAGCCAGAATGCCTGGAAGCCTACAACAAGCTGGCGTGAGCCCTGACACACATTGGGGGGGCTGCCCAGCACCCCAGTGGGGTTTTGGGGTGCTGCACTGGAGTCAAAGGGGTGGGAGAGCTCATGCAGAGCACCTGGGTGGATCCATGTCCTGCCCTGTGCCTCAGTTTCTGTCCTCATGGAATGGATGCATCCCCCAGGCTGCTCCAGGTCCCTTTGGGGCAGGCCCTTCCATGCCCTGGGAGGGCAAATAGGGGTGCTGGGATGATTTTGAGGTGCTGCCCCCCACCCCACTGCCCTCCCTGTGCCCCTGCAGAGAGGAGGTGCTGCCCAGGCTCCACACGGACCCTGACTATCCCTGTGACCTGGTGGGCAACTGGAACACCTGGTATGGGGAGCAGGACCAGGCAGGTGAGGGCAGGTGACATCTCCCAGTGCCTCTGGCTGCCAGAGGTGGGGACCTCAGTGGGAATTTTGGGGTGCTGCCCCCAGTCCCAGCCTCCCCATCTCCTTGCAGTGCACCTGTGGCGCTTCTCGGGCGGGTACCCAGCGCTCACGGACTGCATGAACAAGCTGAGGCAGAACAAGGTAGCAGTGGGGTGGGGGTGAGCCCCCTCTGCTCGGCATTCAAGGCCAGGTTGGATGGGCTGGGGCTGTCCCCAGGAGTACCTGGAGTTCCGCAAGGAGAGGAGCCGGATGCTGCTGTCCCGCAGGAACCAGCTGCTCCTGGAATTCAGCTTCTGGAATGAGCCCCAGCCCCGCCCGGGGCCCAACATCTACGAGCTGAGGACCTACAAGCTGAAGGTGGGGGTCAGCCTGTGTGCCTCGGGGTGGCCTTTGGGCTGATACACCCCAGGGTGGGGGTCCTGCCTGGTGTTTTGGGGGGTAACACCCCAAATCTCGTCCTCCTTGGTGGTGGGGAGACCCCAAGCAAGGGATCAGGGGGGCTCTGACTGGTTTCTCTCCCCGGTTCCCAGCCAGGGACCATGATTGAATGGGGCAACAACTGGTAAGTGACTGTTTTTCCAGCACAAGGTGAGAAAAGGCCCCCCTGGAGCAAGGGGACCCCTGGGGCAGCCCCCCATGTGTCCCCTGTGCGTGCCAGGGCTCGGGCCATTAAGTACCGGCAGGAGAACCAGGAGGCAGTTGGAGGGTTCTTCTCCCAGATCGGGGAGCTGTACGTGGTGCACCACCTCTGGGGTAAGGTGGGGCCCAGGACACCCTGGGAGTGGGGGTGGGCTGGGGGGCTTGGGTGCCAGCCCCATCCTCTCTCCACAGCCTACAAGGATCTGCAGTCCCGGGAGGAGACAAGGAATGCAGCCTGGAGGAAGAGGGGTTGGGATGAGAACGTGTACTACACAGGTGAGCAGGACCCCTGCCTGCTCTGGGGACCCCCTGCCCGCTCTGGGGACTGCCATCCAGGGGACCCCCTGCCCTCACCTCTCCATCACTTCCTTTCCCAGTGCCGCTGATCCGGACCATGGAATCAAGGATCATGATTCCCCTGAAGATCTCTCCGCTGCAGTGAGGGGGAGCCATGCTGGGGTGTCTCCCTGCACCCCGAGAGGCTCCCTACCTGCCCGTGCCCCAACCCTGCTGGGGAAGGGCTGGGGGATTCTGCTCCAAGCTCTGCCTCCCACCCCATTTTGGGGTGCTTTGTGGGGGAAGAGAATGGGGAGGGGAAGGGTGGGAGCCCCTCATCCTGTGGTGGGTCCCCAGGATGGTGCTGCTGGGGGGGCTGGACAGGCTGCAGAGGT